CGGCTGAAAGATTTCTTGGCAAAGAGTGATCTGAGGGTACTGGTCAACAGCTGACTGAGTATGAGCCAGCAGTGTACCCAGGTGGCCAAGAAGGCCAATGTTATCCTGGCTTGTAACAGAAATAGTGTGACCAGCAGGAGAAGTGATCATGCCCCTGTCCTTGACACTGGTGAGGCTGCACCTTGAGTACTGTGGTCAGTTTTGGGTCTTCACTATGAGAAGGACATTGAGGCACTGGAGTGTGTCCAGAGAAGGGCAACAAGGCTGAGGGAACTGGGATTGTTTAGCCTGGAGAAGAGGAGGCTGAGGGAAGATCTTATCGCTCTCTACAGCTACCTGAAAGAAGGTTGTAGCAAGGTGGGGATTGGTCTCCCAAGTAACAAGTGAAAAATCTCTTCACTGAAAGGGTTGTTGAGCATTGGAATGGGCTGCCCAGGGAAGTCACTGAGTCACCATCCCTGGAGGTATTTAAAAGACTAGTAGATGAGGTCCTTAGAGACATGATTTAGTAGTGGACAGGTTATAGTTGGACTCTAAATAATCTTTAAGGTCTTTTCCAACCAAATGATATTATGATACTTAGAATATTTTACTTAAAATAGATGTTTTACAGTAAAGCAGTACTTTGTGTGAGATGATAAAGATGTTTGAGAGGTCTAAAATGCAAGCTTTTAATTTCTTTAACCAAATATTAATGTCTGTCAGTGTACAGTAATTTATTAATAAGACTTCCTTCTATTCACAGGGTAATAACTACTTTAAACAAGGGAACTTTGATGAAGCTATAAAATGCTACACTAGAGGGATGCATTATGATCCGTACAATCCAGTATTGCCCACAAACAGAGCATCGACTTTTTATAGAATGAAAAAGTAAGACTTGCATTGTTAAATCCTTAATATTTTCTTCTTTCATATGCTGTGTTCTGTTTTTTTTGTCAGGTTTTAATTCTTGATTATATTATTTATCATGCTGCAGTACAGTCTGTGTAAGACTGCTGTTGCAACCTGCTTTGCAGTTTCAAAGTAAAATAGGAATTGCCAGGATAAGTAAGGAATCTGGTAGTCTCATGGTTTTTTGCTCTAATTTCATGCTGGAAGTTCACTGTCTTCTGTGTTAGAGTGTAAGACTTCAAAAAAAGAGAGGAAGTTCAGTATCTAATTTGCCGTTCAGAGTCAGTAAGCTCTGTTGCTAAGGCTTGAATCTGTTTTGGCTGAAGGGTATAGGAGAGTTGGTTATTCTTTCTGTTGCAGTAGAGATTTTTTTCTGTTTTCCTTTCCTGTTTTAATGTGTTCTAAATCGAGAGATGTTTAAATGCTTGTTCTGTGCCCTTTCTGAAGCATGTAAGATTTCCACTTCAGAGAGAACCCATAAAGCTTCAGAGTATGCTAAGTTGCTGAAGTATTGGGTTTTGTTACCTAGATATGTCCAAACTAACTTACTTGTATTTTTGATAGGTTTTCTGTTGCAGAATCTGACTGCAATTTAGCACTTGCTTTAGATAAAAATTACACAAAGGCTTATGCCAGAAGAGGGGCTGCTCGGTTTGCTTTGAAAAATCTTCAGGGTGCTAAAGAAGGTGGGTCTTTTTTTAATTTCTTCCCTTAAATTTATAACAACTGCTTGTCTGCTTGCTTGATTAAAGCTTGTGTGATATGCTTATTTGTTATGGGAATTTAATTTTCATTTCCTGTAAACAAAGAAATGAAATACTGTATTGCATATTTTTCTGGCAAGGTAAAATTCAAGTACCAAGTCTAAATTATTACTATAGATATTAGAAGTTTTAGAATAATTCAGCTTTAAATGCCTTGGAATAATGTGTTCTATGTAATATCTTGGGCTTTTTAGGTGACTACAAAAAAGGATCATCTGAAAAGAATGCTCTTATTTTATACTGTGGTTACTAGCCTCTATTACCTACCTGAAATATTGTTTTCTGATCTTCTCATAGATTATGAAAAGGTTTTAGAGCTGGATGCAAACAACTTTGAAGCAAAAAATGAACTGAAGAAAATTGATCAGGTAATAGGATTAATAGGCCCTAACACAAATTAATACACCCTGTTCAGTTTGTATCAACTTAAATGTATAACAAGTATATAGTTCAGCAAAATCTCATGTGCTTTTTTGACATTTGAAGTTCAATGAGGTCAAAATCTGTGGTTGAGGTTCTCCTGCATTAACTAGCATGTATGCAAACATCAGTATAGAATCACAGAATATTAGTATAATGGTGGAACAGCAGACTAAGATTGGATGTGTGCACCAATGTGTATGCTTTTAAAAAAACCATCTTCCCTCAGATGTTTTTCCTACCTCCTGTGTTAATGATTTTTTCAGTCATGCTTAGTATTTTGTTACCTGCTTGTAGTCCCACTGATTGCTGTGGTATACCGAACCAGAAAGTGGGTTTAATGCTAGCATAACATAATACTCCACTGCAAGTCTCATCCCTTTCATGACAGGGAGAGAACGTTGATTGTGATGACCTTTTAAATATAAACTCACCTGGCATTACTATGTGAATATGCTTATACCTCTTCAACTGTAATGTTGAAAGTGCTTGAAAAATTTATTTTCAGAATGAAGACTCAAAGTCTCCAGTAATTGAAGAAATAAATGATTTTTGAATTGGAATACATAAAGACAGCTTCCATGGGTCATTTTACACTGTGCTTCAGAAATTACATACTTTGTATTTACCAAGTAACATTCTGACTCACAGTGTCTCATAGAAATACATTTTCAAGAACAGTTTAGAATGATTGCTTCAATTTGCATTCAACTTATGACACAGACACTTTTGTTAAAATGCTTGGCAGATTTTTGCATCTCAGAAGTTTAGAATTTATTGTAATTTATGTTCTGAAAACATGTAAGTGGGGGAAATATTGAGGGAAAAATTATATCTTTGCAGGCTCTGTCATCAAAAGAAAGTTCAGAACAGAAAGAGTTTGAAGATGTGGTCAAATCAGAATTAACAGATGAAGAGAAGAAGTGCATTGAAGACCAGCAGCTCAAGCAAAAGGCTATTACAGAAAAAGATCTGGTAAGTCACAGAATCTGGTGGAACAAAAGAGAACTAGGAAAGTGGTGTGCTATTAGCGAGGCAGATGTGTTAATTAAACCTGATACTGTCTTGAACAGTAAAAACAGTATATTTGACATAATCTTAATTGTTTCCTGTTTTGGGCCCTATAGGGAGGGAATGGTTACAGTGAGGTCTGTTTGGACTCTTCTGGAGGAATAATTATACAAGGTAGCCTTTTACAGCCCAAATTGTGCATGATAAATTTGTAATATGTAGTAAGATAAGTAGAAATTGAATTGTATTTCACAAATATCCCATTTCTCCAGGATTATTTGCATCTCATCCCCTGCTTGTCCAAGTAGAGTTGCGGACTATTTCTTGTGTTTTCAAACCTATTGCATGGGGAAAAGTAATTAGAAAAAGGACTTCAGGGAGTGTAGGCAACAATAACAAGAAAAATGTATTTCTTAATACATGGTCTTGAATCACAATTGGCTTATTGATTCCTCCCCACTTCTGCAATTAAGAAACAACATTATCAGCTAAAATAGTTTTCTTTCTCTTACCTAGCTATTTAACTTCTGACTTTTTATCAATATTCTGGTTTCCTATATTGGTAGTAAGAGTTAACTAGTAGGAAAAGAATGAAAGCATAATTAAGTAGGTAAAAGGAACAGAAGTTTGGAGAGGCCACGGAAAAGAAATACCAGTCTAGTGCAATACTTTATTGGTCGCGGAGTTGATTCACTGTGGGCCTGTTCCTGGCAAGATTGGATCCTGTCAAGTCTGAACTGTGGCCTTTTTTTGCCAGTGAGTAACAGAGAAGGTAATACATGACTTCAATATTGAGAAGCAAAAGATACTTTTTTGTTTGTTTCCGAGATACTAAAATTAATGTAATTTTGTTGTATGAAGCATTAATTAGAAAATAAGAGCAATGTTTGGGCCCAAGTAATATTTGAGGATAACCGTTTCATGGATGTAGCAGCATAAAGATGAATTTGTGCAGTGCAGACAATAGTCTTGAAAGGGGAATTGTAAAAGTTCAGCTTTGTCAGCTTGTTTCAATTCAGGAGGTGCATGGTGGCTAATCCTGCACATTAAAGGCAAAGATAAATCACAAGTCATAGGCTTATAACATTAAGCCTGCACTTAAACTATGCATGTAGCAATTTTTTTTTCTTATCCTTGAAGTACTACAGGTTTTTTGTGGTCTGCCTCCAATATAAAGAAATATGCGATAAATATCTGCCCTGTGGTGGGTGTTCTTTGTGATCCATCTTCTTGATATTGTGACCTTCTCTACTAAAAAGGATAAGAAAAGCTCACAGAACTGATCTTTCTCAACGCCCTTTTTTTTCTAACCTAAATATTACAGGGTAATGGTTATTTCAAAGAAGGAAAGTATGAGACTGCAATAGAATGTTATACCCGTGGTATAGCAGCAGATGGCACCAATGCGCTTCTACCAGCTAACAGAGCCATGGCCTATCTAAAGATTGAAAAGTAAGTATTATTGCATGTACTTTTTGTTTCTTTGTTATGAACTACATGGAAGAGTGATCCAGTAGATTTTCATCCAAGTTACTGTTGCTCCTTTTAATTCAAAACAGTAAGGGAGAGAGAACAACTCCATATGTGTGATCTTACAATGCATTTCATAGGAAAGAAGTTCTTAGAACAAAATATCATCAGGCTAAAATTATAATTTCTGAAGTTAGATTTTCATTCTTCTATGTGTGTAAAATTCTAGATATTCAGCTTTCTCAAATGACCTACTCAAAGTCTCTTTTGACTATAAAACCCAGACAGCTACTAAGTATTGCACTGTAAAAAGAAGTGGATTATATCTATATCTGGCTATTAAATCTATATAACACATGAGAGTTTTTTCTGGAAATTGACATATTTTAAAACATTTTTCTTTAACTTCAGTAATGAAGACATTTATGTGTAGTTAGTTTGTTCTTAATTAAGCTTTATCCAGACAATCCAGTAACAGTAGGAAATGCATGCTTTCCAGTAAATGAGAGAAATTCCATATTGCTGTTTTTGACATCTGATTTATTTATTTATTTATTTATAACTCCCTGATGGTATGGTAGTTTAATCCTTTTAAACTGGTAGCATGAGAAGCAGAGAGCTGAGCATTATGTTGATCACCTGTTCTAACATGACGAGGCTGGGTGTCTGTAGAGATAATATATTGATCTCAAATTATGAGATCATAAAATAGATTGCACAGATAGTATTTCTGGCACAACACTTGTAATTTAGTACTGAAGCCATAGAAGACATCATAGTGCAAATAATGTTCTCATAGAATCAGAGGAAGTGGTACTTTAATTGAATGACCAAGCAAGAAAATAAATTCTGAATGATAAATCAGTGTGTCATGGATCTTTATATTTCAAAGAGAACCCAAACATTAAAAACAATAGAAGCTCATTCTTAATCTTATAAACATCTAGAACTGATAAGAACTGCAAAAAAAACCCCAAAAACTATTTCCATAGATTTAATGGTAGATTGAAGGAGGAGAAGAGAAATGAATGAAAATATTTTAATGAGCACATAGTGGAAACATGATCGGATATAACTAAGTATAACTGGGATGAGGGAATTTGATCTTGCAATGAAGCAGATACCTTAATGCAAGTATATACCAACTTCTCATTCTAAAATAATTAAGGACAAGTCACAGAAATTCAGATTTAGAGAAGTTTATTCTCACATATGCTTACTTCTCCTTTCTTGTATTTTTGTCTTTGTAATGGTATTTCTGGTTTTCAGAAGTACAAAGCTATGATTCTAACTTTCAATTTTAAGGCTATTTAATGTTTAAAGTGGACTCTGTTCTGACAGGCTTTAAATGTTTGTTTTCACAGAGGAAGTGAATTTTTCTGTAATGATAAAAAGAGAGTCAGCTATGTGTCATGAGATGCCTAAAGATTTGTCTGAAGTTTCGAGGTGCTGAGAAAACATATTTAATATGTTTACTTTTATTCTACTTTTTAGCTCAGTGTTGTGTATTTATATGTATATAGTTAATTAAGATCTGTATTCGTATTTTAATTGTTTTGGGTAGGTCTGTCTTTTCAGTTGGAACTACCTCTTGAGACTGATTATTAATTTTGTACTACTCTTTTGCTGAGATATGAAGAGGCAGAAGAAGACTGTACACAAGCTCTGGTTTTGGATGCCTCCTATTCTAAAGCCTTTGCCAGAAGAGGAGCTGCCAGAGTTGCTCTTGGAAAGCTAAAAGAAGCTATACAAGGTATGACTTCTAATTAGCCCAAGTGTGATAAGAGAGAAGGACATTCTTATTTTTTTTATCTTCTGGGGCAATTAAATCAATTGCTGACTAATTGAGGTTATCAGTGCAAAAGTTAAGAATTATGGAGTTTTGTTGTGTTTCATTGACTGTGTAAAACCTTTTGTGCTGGTATCCACATGATCAGAAGACAGTTTTGTCTGAAATTACAACTATTGTTGCTTATGATAAGTAGTAAGAAATAGTTTGAAAAATGCGTTTAAAATTTAGGTCACAATACAGGCATTAGGATGACTGCCTGCCTTTCATTATTTTAGAGCTGTGAATGGTAAATAGAAGGTTTAAAAAATTGCCAGGAGTACTTTGTATCTTGAAATGTCTGCAGTTTTCATACATTATTTTTTCCACTCAGATTTTGAAGCTGTTCTGAAGCTGGAACCTGGAAATAAACAAGCAATAAATGAACTCACTAAAATAAGAAATGTATGTATACTTTAGCCTTTTTTTAATGTAAGCATATAGTAATAGAATATTTCTATTCTTTATTATGTAATTTTTAACATATCTTAGAATTATTCCTCAAACCTTTGATCTTTCAGACAACTTACCCTTTTTTTCTTCTTCTTCTTTTTGCTTTCCAGGAATTAGCTGAAAAAGAACAGCAGACTCATCAAGAATATCCCGCAGTATTGATAAAAGAAACAGAAATAAAAAATATAGTAAAAGTGATTGATAATCCGTTACTCCTGAAATCAACAGTAAGTTGTTTTGTAAGTTACTTCAATGGTGGGAAAGTAGAGCTTGAAGTTAAAATCCTCTTCTTGCTTACTTATGTAGACTAACTTTTAATAGATGCATCTTGCCTGTGGAAAGCCCAAAATTTACAGATTTACTCTTTCGATATTTTTCAAGAACGTAACTTCAGCATTTCCATATATATGTAACAGCAGTGGTGATGTAAGCGGTCAGCCTACACTTCCACGCATAAGAAACATGATATATGCCTGTACTGTAACATGAAATGGGGAGTCAACCCCCCAACCCTATCCTAAATCCATAGCTAACATAGCAGTTGAGAGTAAATGAGGAGGCAGTTGAGCCTCCATGTTTAATTGCAGACTTGAGAAAGCTCTGGGTAAATTTCCCTTCTTTTCATCGGCTGTTGACAGTTTCTATAGCAGCTGTGGTGTTGACAGGACATGTTGCCTACCCATGTTACATGCTGGTGTCACCTACTGCAAGAGTCTTGAGTCTGTGTTTTCATCGACATAAACTGTAGAATAGCCAGGTATTAGGTTTCAGGAAGCACTTTGAATTATCAGTGCTTTTAGTCAGATTAATGAGCTACATATGACAAATTATGATGATACAGAGAGTAGTATCAGCTTTCTTTATGTATTTGACTTCCCCTTTTAGTACACTTAAACTTTATACATTCAGTAGTGAGTTGTGTGAATAAAAAGCATACTCACACTTTGTATGGAGTGCTGTAGTGTTCTGCTCTTGATGATTTCAAATTTTTGTTTATTGCCATTAAATACGTAATTCTGATGAATCATTTTAGTAGAAAATGTGTGATTATTTTAATAATTTTTGGGGGTGCAGAAGTATGTGCTCTCTATAACCAAATACAGTATTTCTAGAAACCTAGAAGAATTTGTTGTGAAATAGCTGAAATACTAGAGACAATTTTATATTTAGTTTTTACTTTGACTGCTAAATTAGTTGGAGATGCTAGATTGATTTTTTTTTTTTTTTTTTTTGTTACTCTGTTAAGGTAGAATAAGTATAGGTGAAGCATCTGTGGAAACCACTAAAACTGTGGTTTTAGTACCGCCCAAGGATTGTAGAGAGAACTGTAATTTTGTTTCATATCCACCAGGCAGTCTCCTAGTCTTAGCACTATGATGAGATGGTATATAGTCTAAGCAAACCATGTGCTGTCATCAATACACCAACAGGACAGGACTTTTTGGCATGATTTAAAGCAGTTTACAAATTGCTGTGAAGATTTCTCGTAGGATTGTTTGAGTTGAACAGAAATCTGCCATTTCTAGAAGTCTGAATCACTGAGTATGCCTAATTGTGTGTATTTGCATCTGTATTTCTAGAGCAAAATACACTATGTTCATGTTGAAGAAATTAATTTCCTTCCCCCCCCACCCCCCCCAGTAAATGGTGCTTCCTTGAAAGACCTGTGAAGGTGGTGCTAGGTGATGGTCAAAAATAATGGATATCATGCAGAGATTTTAAACAAGCTGAAGCATTTTACTTAGCATGACCTCTAATGGTGGAATAATGAATATATGTATTATGTATGTAACTTGGTCAACCAGCGGGGCTAAGTTACAGATATTTATCATCTCAAAATTTTAAGTTGAAGGTAAGGATACACTGGTTTATGAGGTTAAAGCGATACAATAATGATAAAGCTTCCTGTAGAATGCCATAAAGTTTCCTTTTTTGCCATTTATCTTTATTAAAAGTAGCTTCCATGTGCACCACTACAGATGAAATTGTAATTTAATAAATTAAACACAGCTATTTATCTGGGGCCTATATATGATGATGATGTCTAGGCTATGCACATGACATGAGGTATGTGTTCTGTTTAGAAGCCTTTGCAAAGAATAGCCATTGAAGAAATTGATGATGACACACCAGACTGTGATTTACCCAGCACTACTTCTTCAGTCAGTAACTGGAGGAATTCAATGAATGTTGAAACAACAGAGAAACTAGATCAGGATGATCAATTTACTTCAATGGACATTCCAAAAGCAAAGCACTTGAAAATAGAAGAAATCAGTGATGCGTCACCATTGCAGTAAGTATAAAAATCCTGATCCCATTTTTAAAGGGTAAACGTAGTTGAAATACAACCTTCATTTTCAGATTTCTACGTGTGATGAGGTATTGAACATAATTTGGAGAATTTGAATTAAAAAGAAAATACTGAAAGAAACTGCAGTTCTTACACGTCTGCATCTTTGATCACGCATTGGTTGAGACAAGTATAATCTATTTAGTGTCAGATGGAGAACTAGTCTTGTTCTTGCACTTCAAATATAAGGAAACTTATAATATTTTCCTGTATGCCATACCCTTTCTTGTGCACTTCATCTTCCCTAGCTGTGATTTTTATTACTATTATTTTAGAGCAGATTGTAAGCAGAATTCAAACATTCTTTGCACACCAGTTGTGAGAAAAGGAGCAGGTGAGATTGTCACTGCTCTTTCTGCTAAGCAGGCAGCCAGTAACTTCAGGTTCACTCAGAGTTCCCAAGTTCCACTGTGCTGGCTGTGCAAGCTCAAATCTTGCTGGCTGAAACTAGAGTGAAATATAGAAGCCACTATCCTAACTTTATCCCTTCTAAGTGTTGTCTGCTGTGTTGTCATCACCTCACTCTGTTAATAGTAAATACATTTTATGGAATTCTTATTGAAGAATTTCTGAGAAACACCCTCCCACACCCTCCTTTTCCAGCTCAGTCAGATGGATTTACTGTGAAGTGTCGAAGAAAAAAGTATATTTCTTAGCCATTTTATAGCTTCGAAAAATTGAACGGACTTAACTGACAAGTTGTAGGACAGAAAATAGCTCCACTGTAATCAGTGTTGGAAACGGTTTGTTCATTTGACATGGTTATTGTTTGGCATCATGAAACTGCAAAACACCTGGTATTTTTTTGCAGCTCCACAGGGTAGAAATCTGCACCATAAGATGCAGTTATTTCCAGAAACAAAATAGAAAGAGGCTGAGCATAAGTACTTGCAGAGGTTTTTTTTTGAGAAAAGGTGAATCAAGTACAATGCTTCCGCAATTTGAAGTTCGTTGGTTTTTGTTTTTTTTTTTAGATACCTGCTTAAACTAAAATACAGTATTTTAAAATATTTTTATTGTATTTTAGCTTTTAATGAATTGAAAGATCTCCATTTAGGTACTAAGTGTACGATTTCCTTAAATGTTTTCTTGATTGTGTTTCAAAATCTCTCTGTAGGCTTCCTGCTAGCGTGAAAGGAATTTCATCAGTGTTGCATCCATCTTTCCCTGTGAACAAACAGAGAGAAAAAGAAATCAGAAGGTCATTTGGATCTGCTTTTCCAGTCCCTGCTGTTCCTGCAAATTCTTTCCAGCTTGAGTCTGACTTCAGGAAGTTGAAAGATTGCCCAGAAATTATGTACTTGTACCTGAAGGTATGAAACATAGTATCAATTGGACAGTTTCTTCAACTGACACTGAAGGAACAGCGCAGACTTGGATGGAAAGCGGAGCTATGTTTAGATTGCCTTAACAGTGTACAATAGTCCCTTTCTTTAGTTGGCTTCACGTAGTACTGAGTAGTTTGATCCACATTTGAGTATTTCTCCTCTTGTACATGACTCTTCACTTACCTCACTTCGAGTACAGTCTCTGCATAATCTCTTCTTTCAAGCATAAGCCCTTATTCTATAAAGACTTAAATATATTTAGTTACCATGTTAAATTCTGATTTTTCAAATGAGTGCCTCTAGGGTAATTAGATGCAGCAAAATTTTTACCTCTTTAAACTGAACAAATGCTTGAAACACATGAATCTACATAATGTGTACTTCTGCTTGTATGGATTTTGCAAAATATTTGCTTAGAATCTTTTTTAAAGGAAGTTAACCATCATCATCACACAAAACAAACAAAAAACCCCAAAATTAATCACACAGAATCGCTCGGTTGGAAAAGACCTCAGAGATCATCACGTCCAAGCGCTCCTGTCTACCCCCTAAACCATATCCCTAAGTACCTCGTCTACTCGCTCTTTAAATACATCCAGGGAGGGTGACTCCACCACCTCCCTGGGCAGCCTGTTCCAGCCTCTGACAACCCTCTCAGTAAAGAACTTCCTCCTTAATTACAGTTGTTCAACATCTAATAGTGTGACTATTAGTGACTAAGTGACTTGTTTTTCCTTTTATTTTTGCTTTCATGCACTTAGTGTTGTCCAAGAGATCCTAAAAACTAATTTCTAATTCTCATGACATAACTGTATTTTTTTTGCCTGAAAATAACAGTTTATTTTTTTTCCGAAGCAAATAGAACCTTCGCTTTATTCAAAACTGTTCCAGAAATCCTTAGATCCAGACTTGTTTAACCAGATACTGAAAATTCTACATGATTTCTACATTGAGTAAGTTTAACTCCTCTTTTTTATTACATTGCTTATTGTTATACTGTTATATTGTTATACATAAAGCTAATATTGTGCAGTTTTCTATATTAACTTTCTAAAGCTGAGAAGTAGAGGGTTTCATTTTTGTGCAAGGCTTATTGTGATGCATTCTGACTTTTATTTTTAATTACCTGCTAGCATTTTACAGTAGCCTGTAGTAAATGTGTATTGGAGCTAGAAGGTCTGATGAGACAGGACCTGACAATTATTTTTGAAATTTCTATCCATGCTACCATTTGAGTATTAAAGTTCATTTTGCCTGTCAGAGACAGTGTATCACTTCTCTGAATTACTCTGAGAGCATTCTCAGAATGTTTTTCTTGTGTTGCTTTATGGGGAAAAGCAAATGTAAATTGTTAGCCTTTTCCTTGGTTTCTCTAAAGCAAATATCCATCATGTGGGTGAAACATAACACTGTAAGAAATACAGTCCTACGTTTGGTGGTATGACATGTAAAGACTAGGAAATTGAAATCGTTTGCTGTAAGGTAAAAGACATTTCTTCTGGAGGGAGACAGGACAAGCTATGAAAGAAAAATACTGTTTGTTGTTAGTGTTTGTAACAAAGAGTTCCTGTTTACTGTGTACCAGAAGAATGTAAAATGAACACAACCAAGAAATTTTCTGCATGTATAAAAATGATGGCAAGTATAATCTGGTGCTTTTTGCTGAGCTTCCTGTGACCACAAGATGCTACTTCCCCTTGCACACCCCAGTATGTATAAAAGTGGTGACATTATGGCAAAATGTAAGCATTAAATCATATAATAGCTATTCTGTGTGTTAACAGCTATCAGCTTGCATCAGTCTAGGGCTGCTAGATATTTCATCACTCTTACTCTGTATCAGAATGATACTTGCATAAAGATTTCTGGATGTTGACTTTTTGCTGGGTGGAAGAATGAACAGGGAAGGTAAAGGCAGGGAATATGAGAGAAACAGAAGGAAATTCCATTTTTCCTTTAATTTCTTGTTCCTGAAGTCTTTAATATTGCTTGCAGCTACTGAATCTTTCTAATAAAGAGTAGTTATTTTTATATTTCTAATAATTTTTTTCAGGAAAGAGGAGCCATTGCTCATTCTTGAAATCCTCCAGAGGCTATCTGAATTAAAAAGATTTGATATGGCAATAATGTTTATGTCAGGCTCAGAGAAAAAAAGTAAGTAATTCAATAGTGTCTTTTTAAACTTTGTTTGTGATACTATAGAATGTAGCAAGAAATATGTAAAATTTAGTGCTATTTTTGTTGTTTATTAAGTGTAATAATCTTTTAAGTTTAGTTAGTTGTCTAACTTTTTGATTGTTTTAGAAGTTAATATGAACGTCATGTAATTTTTCTTCATCTTTTAATTTCTTATTGAGACCTGAAAACTAAGTCCTTCTTTTTTTTTAAATTGGTAATTTCACTGCATTTTAGTCTGATAAAGTAAACTTCTCTAACATTTCAATTTGTAGCTGGTAATGTTGCAAATTGATGTATTTGTATGAAATCTTATAGCTGAGATGCAAGGTATCCAAATTACACGGTTTCCACAATTTATAACCATTTCTTGGCAATCCTGACTTTACTGTAGGCATAATGATTGCAGTCGCTCAGCCTGGTTGTCTGACCTGTTCTTGAGAACTTAAATGAGTTTGCAATTCAGGTTGACACTGGCTTGAGTTCATGGTTTATGAAAGTGGTTTTTGTCTCAAACATTTTCTTTATTTAGCGCACCAGATGAGACACTTAAAGGCAAAACATTTCTCTGGGACCAAGTAATGTCAGATTTACTATCTACAACTGAGTTTCTCTAATAACCACTATACTTTCAAAACTTTGATATGTGAATCTCCTTAAATAAAAGCACTTGTTTGACTTACTGAAGTACAAGTAAATTCCTCTTATGAATTGCATTTACGCCTTTAACCTGATGTAAGCTTTATCTGCCATCTGCCATTAACTTTTATCTTCTGCATTTAATGGCATAGTGCCAAGATAGTAAACAAAATAAAAGCTGTCTGTTTGTTGTCAGGATTATATACCTGTTTAGGGAAATGTTGTTAGGCAGCCTGTGGGCATCAAAACAAAGTAATAACTTCCTTTTGCTACTTTTTTCATGCCTTGAGTAGTTCTAAAAATGTACTTGTATTTCAGCTGTATAATCAAACCTCAAACTTAACTACTCTCACTGAGGAAAGAATTGGACCAAGTGTCCTTAAGAGTGAATCACAAAAATAACAGTTCGCATTGGGATTTTGTCTTACAGTTACACAGGCATTGTTCAATCACGTGAACCACATGGGATTGAAAGATATTTCTGTTGAAGATTTGGAGAAGAAATATGGCATTTTCTCTTAGTGAGATGGCTGATGTGAATTTCTGTTTCTGCACTTCTTTCATGTGAAGTCAGCTGAAGAAGCCCATAAAGACTGGAATTTTGTTGCTTTTGTATAAGTAATGAAACTTTTAAACTTGGTTTAGCCAAATGGCAAGTGCCTGAGGAGATAATTACCTAGTTCTGCAAGTACATTTGCTTTCCAGCACCTAAAATAATACAGATCTACTTTGTCTTCAGTGGAATCTAAAAAACAGTTGGGCAGATTGGCATTCAGGATTTGGACTGTAGATAGAGATCTTTATTAAAAGCAAAAAAAAATATATATATATAAACATGTCTTTGGTAAGAATCAGATGGTGTATATTAAAAATGAGCATGGTTTTTTATTTTAGAAAATAAACTGAACATTGAATTGAAGATCTTAAAAAATTAGTAATTTTTTATTTTTATAAGGTGTCTAAATTATTCTTCTCTAAGGATACACCGCATCTGAATCTATAATGTGCAAAATGAACCTGAGGTGCAATGGCCAAAAAATCCCAGAATTGTGTTTAACCAAAAGCTTGAGTTTTAGCATTGACAGCTGAGATATTCCTGTGAACATCAACTGTAATTGCAGAATAGAAGGAAACCAAATACTGTAGAACTAAACTAAAAGTGTTTTCCACTTTTTATCTTCTTTGGAGAGTACTTTTGAAATAATCTGATGAAACTTATCTTTTGGATCAGTTGTTCCTGCCAGGTAGAGTCCTTAAGAAGCTTCAGGAAGCTAAGCAGGGTACCCTTCCAGTATGAAGAAGACAAAGGCTTGAGATGATATGAAATTCTTAGATGAGATGAGAAATAGCATTAGGTGTAGCAAGCTATTCATACTGGTCACATGACCAGAAGAGGGAAATAACACCACTTGTCAAGAATATGGTAAGATTTAACTGTAGTATCCAAGTAGTGGTGTCTGAAGTTTTTGCCTCTAGACTTGATCACTATCTCTTGAATCCTACTGACACTAAAATTCTCTCTTTGCTTTCATCCTGATTCAGCCCTTGTGCTTTACTGATGCTTATCGGACTATGGAAGCCTTCTGACATGAACACTTTTGCTTTGGTAGTTGTGTTCTTTTTCAGATGGATGATTAAACTAAAAGCATCTAAAAGCTCTAGCATTTAAAAAGACTTCAGACTTCCAAGATGGATTAATAGGAACAGGTATGAATGTTGTCTTCTGCATAGTCATGATTGGAAAACTATTTTTAAAACGCTTGCAGCTGTGTAGTGTTCTAGTTCAGATATAATCCAGTTTAAAAAAAAAAATGTAACTGAGCTACATCCTTGGGCTGACATGAACAGAGCACTAGATCCCAAAGGTAGCTTCCAATTAGCCCTGGAACTGAGTGCTAGGAGAGTAGTCAGTGTCACTGGTGAAATAGAAGAGCCTTTATATAACACTGCTTGCAGCTTACCTACGATATGAACTGTTATCGCTAGGTGTGCCACAAGTTACTTGGTAACTGGCTATTTCTTCCCCTTGTAAAGCATTTCCAATAACACATTGGGGATGTTGCTGTACTAGTAGAAGTGGATGGGGTGTAGTTACCAAAGTGATTTCATACACCTTTGTAGTTACAGCGTACCTTTTTATGAACTGTTATGAGTTCAGTGTAGAGCAGAGGTGTATGCCTGACTAGGTTGTACTAATAGAGCATTTGGTACATTCTCAAAAGCTGCTTCTTGAAGGCTGTTGGATAAAAACAGGTGATTGTAATATGGATCCTTGACAGTAAACTGTAGGCCAGGAGTCACAGCTCCATTCAATCTGCTATGCTTTTAATGAGAATAAGGTGCTGTATTTTTTCAGAATAAGCTGGTCCCACTCCTGCTTTTATGAAGAATTCTGTTCAGGATTTGTGGGTGTTAAAGAGGACTGATTGAAAGGAAGCTGTTCAAGCACAGAATTTGGTGGGGTGAATGGGTAAACCTGATTCATATTGCTACTGAACTTAGGCCACCAAGATCTATCTTGCAAGTGGTGCACTACTGTAGCCTTTTGCTTGTATTTCTAAATTCAGCAGCTGATGCTGACGCGCTAAGTCCATGAGGTTTTCAAAGCACAGAAAACCATGCAAGGTGGAGAGCAGAACACAGGCAGAGAACTGCTAGCTTCACTTGCTCCAGGAGATGGCAGTGTTTTTCTCTTCTAATTTGTTGAAGATTGCCAGATATCTGGATTGAAACATAGAAGATTCATAGATTTGAAGTAAGACAAGGATTCTTTTTGGGGAGAGAAGGGATTTTTCTTTTTTTAAATCCAACTTTCTCTTAATGGTTATATCCCAATTGTCTGGGGAAAAAAGTCTAAGGTAAATAGTGTGAGGCAATTAAACAGCGTGGAACACTTTATAGCCTTTTGCTATGTTAAGGCATTCAGGGTGTCAAAAACGTGAGGTTATGTGACTGATTCATACTTGAGCTTTGAATGATTCCTTTACTTACCAGAATTAAATGTTTTATTTTTCTAGAAAACTTTTTAACTTGTCAAGATCATTTTTTAATTTGAATATTGTCATTCAGTAGATCTGGAAGACACTCAACTCCATATTGTCTATTGATTATATCATCTAGGTTGTTGCACTAGGACATCTGCAGCATATCCATACAGCTTTGTTTTCACAGTAGTCTGTGATGTTACTTTTTTCCCTTTCTGATAGCTCTAGCTAGCTCTGCATTCATACAGTAATAGTTTCATCTGAGCTGTATTTGTCTTGCTTATAAGAATGCCCTGTGATAGTCAGATGTCAAAATAAATATACTTAATCTACTGCTTTTTCATTCCACAACTGTGGAGGAAAGGATTTTAAGATAGCTTGTTCTTGGTCAACTTGTGTCAGTTACTGCTGAAAGCATAAATGAGTATAGTTTGAGTACTTATACCAAAATATTTTTAAGAATTAAAAATTAATGATCTTGACTCTTGTCAAGAAGTTTTTGTTGCTTTTCTTCTTCCCTATCTTTCTGTTTAAAAATGAGCATTTCAGCTTGCCAATTCTCATATATAACAACTGCTACTATTACTGTTTTTGCAGCTACTTTTAAACATATATTAATGGAAGACTAACATATAAATTTTTAATATATTTTATAGAGAAGTCTTTCGGACTCAGAACCTGTGAATGTTGAACTGCAGGACACTTGGGTTCTAACCCATTCTTTTCCTAGGCAGAGATCTTTCTTCGTCTATTATGTGAATGCAATTGCTTGTAATTGCCATCACTAGGGAATACTGAAGTGAAACAGCCATTGAACAGTTCACTTTTAGTGTCATCAGCTGTTTTTCTTCCGTCTTGCATAACTACCACTTCCCTTGGTGTTTTCCTTTTAATGCAGGTGTCTTTACAGAGCAATCTCTTCTTAGTCTTGTCAACTGCTGCTTATTTTATTTTCCTCTTTTGGTTCTGATATGGTTCCTGTGTTCTCTTGTTGCTCCTACTTAATTCTTAAATAATCTGTCCTCATTTTCATTACTTATATGCTTTTCTGACATAGTTGAAGAGCTCTTTACTGGTCACGTTGATCCCTTTTTTACACTTGTTATCCCTTCCGTTGACATAATTTGAGCTTGTTAACTTCGTATCATTTAACTGGGAACTGACAGGTCTCCTGTACCCTTTCTGCCCTTAATTTTCTTCTCATGAAACCTTACTGAGCAGTTTTAAAACAAAGGAAGAAGTAGAGAGAAGGGTTAAATGCATTAAGCTTTCAAAGTTGTGTTAAAGTGCTGTGATGTCTGGGCAGCTTGATATTGCTCTGCCATCAGCATTAGAAACTAGGAATTTGGGGCATTAAATGCACATCCTCTTTTCTTTCCTCCACCTATGTCCCATCTATTGGCAGCTGGCTATGCTAGTCTTCCACCACTAGGGTTTCTTTTTTTTTTTTTTTTTGCAGTAAATTAGTGCTTTTCTAGTAAGAGCAAGAAGGGCCTTAAAAGCATAAGGCTGCCTTGCTATCGTGCTTTAATAACTTCCTTAAGGTGTATTTCTAAGGGTTGTGTTATTCAGAGGACAAAAGTACGATGCAAAATCCTTGTTACTGATTATCCTTGAGAGATCAGGAAACTAGTCTGACCTCTTAGGAACACATCCTTTGAATCTAGTCTTCATTTAATATTAGCAGGTGTAAGTCTGCCAAAGGACCTGAAATTGTATTAGTGATTAATCTGACCTTATATACTTTGCTAGTTAGGCTTAGGGAAAATAAGTCTTTTGGCATAGAAGGTGAAATTCTGTTTTTCACTATTGTTACATCTCTCAAGTGTGCAGTTCAACCTGATTACAGCAGTGAAATCGTGTGGGTTTTATGCATCTGTCTGTTCCTTTTTCTTTGTACTATTTCACAAAACTGTTTGTATAAGATCTTTCTTATTACATCTGTCACTATGTGTCATTCCCTCTTTCTGAATTTGTCTTCCTTTTCACTGTGCCCTTTCTGTTTTCCATCAGGTTCTAAACACTGTATTCTTCACTGCCTTCCCTCTCCTGTCATTAGTTGCCAGCAGCTCAGCCTCTGAAAGTGTCATTTGAAGGCTCCTTTTAGTTTTCTAAAAATTTCTGTTCAAGGCTCTTTGTTTCTGAAAGCTCCTTCCAACAGCTCTGCTTCTTCAAGCTCCATTTGTAAGAATATTCTGCTCTAATTTCTGACTTCAGAAACTGAAGCAAGCATAGCATAGAAACCAAGGGATTTCTTTTTTCTTTTTTTTTTTTTCCTTCTCCTTATTTCCTATTCAAGTGGTTGCTGGGTGCAGTTGTGGTTGGATACGCTGGAGTCTTTTGCTGATATAATATCAGCAGAAAGCAGTATTTGTTTTTGAAACTTCATCTTCAAACTTCAGACCTTCCAGTCTCTCTCTTGACAGTTATTATGTTAAAGTTTAAGGTGACAGGGTAAAAGACATAAATTTCATGGCTTGTTTCTTCATACCAAATAAGTCTACCTGGATTTTAAAGCAAGAAATGTACCATTAAGCACAAATACTGTTTACATTAACAAACAACTGAGTATATGAAAGTCTCGTCCTTGCCCTGATGCCTGATATAAACCATTAACTTAAAATCCTGTTTTGTGCCTACATACTTGTCTGCCACAATGAGCTGAGCAGTAGATAAGAATCTAAGGAAAACCATGAAAAACCTCAAATAAAGAAAACCCAAACCAAAAAATCCAGATTTTTTTGCTTTTATTTGTATTATAGGAATGACTGTAGTTCAGGTTGCAAGGGCATATACTCAGAGGTAGCTTCCTCCCTAAAGAATCAGGAGTCTGTACAAATATCACTGAAAAGCAGAGAAGAATTAAATTGTTGATTGCCCTCCCATGATTGTGATGGGAGAATAGTATCTGACTCTTTAAGTAGAAATCTGATGT